CATTCCTGCACACAAACACCAATGAAGGAGACACCACAGGGGCACAAAACTATTCTGGTTGGTGTTAAAGCCCAAGTAACAATATAGAAGTGAAGCAGAAGAACTCAGCCTACTTTATCCAAAGCTCAGATGCGTTTGCACGTAGGCAAGCTGGTGTTTTCAAAAAGAATTCTAAACTGAGAAAACACTAACTCCCTCCCTGCCAGGCCTCGCCCCTCTGGGGGTGCAAGGCTGCAAGAGGCTCAACCTGAGAAACATGTTCAGAACAAGTAAATTTAGAAGGAGCCAATGAGGTTAAAATCACAAGTTAGCCTTCTTGCATTGCCCAGAAACACAGAGGTGGGTGGGCAGACTGCTCATGCCACTGCTCTCTTTTCTAATTCTGAGAATCAACGAGCCTCATGGAAGATTTTTACAGACTTGCTCTTTTTCCTGACATGCTGACCTTAAATCAACATTGGAAGTGTTAATTTTCTAGTGAAAAAGGAACTCTGGGATATCATAATGAAGTAGTCGAACTGGAAAGATGAGATCTGTGGAGTATCAAGGCATTTAGCAAAGTCAGCCTGTGTTCTATGTCACATGCCAGGTGCAAAGCCCACATCTTAACACCACCAACATCATGATTTTCAAATAAGGGCCCTCCCAAATGACTTCCTCTAGAGTCGCGAAGTGAGAAAGTGACAGAATCGAAGTTCTGCCCATTGGGTGCAGCACCTCGAGTTCATGTTCTCTGAGAGGAAACAATGGCCCCACACCTGAACAAAAGATATCTAGATCTCCACCTCCCAAGGGTTTCTGTCATTCCACCAAGCAGAGGGGTATCATTCCCTGGACCATTTGCAGCTCCTCCCAAGGTCAAGGAGCCCACCACCTTACCTGCCCCTCTTCTGCACATCCCTCTTCTGCCACCATAGCTCCTCGTAGCCTGAGCAGTGTCCCGAGGATAGGAAAGCCTCTATAAACAACACAAATACATTGTTAGTAAATGTGGCCTTTCCCCACACCACACTATGTACACTGCTCCGATCCCCCATGAACTTGTGATGACATGGTGTGACACAGACATGTTGGTGGCAGATGGTGAAGTGGTCTGGGTGGCTGTGGCATGAGTGGAGGAGGTCAGGGTGCCCACACGCAGCCTGCTCAGCCCCTCTCTTGCAGGAAGTCCAACCAGGGCGTGCGATCTCAGGGAGGCCTTTATGCACATGAGAGAAAATGCACAGGAGCTGGATGGATGCACACAGATGAGGGTGCCCAGGATGCGATGAAGCTGAAGGCTTGTGCAGTGAAAGTTTTTACCTTGGATATCTTTTGAGAGCATATATAGGATGTTGGAAGCCAGAAGAGACTGCAGAAGTGTTACCGAGCCTTCCAGGTCGACTCGGAGAGGAGAGGGTAAGCAGCATGGGGAAGTTGCACTGAGGTCATATGGCTGCCCTCCTTAAGGATGAAGACGGGTGCCTCCATGCAAGCCAGGCACCATGTTCATGGCATCACAGGCACCCACAATGCAGAACGCCATGTCTCCAGCTGCTGCTCCTTCTCTTTCATATCACCAAGGACATGCTTACTATTTTGTTCAAACTCAAGGCCCTGTAGCTGTCAACTGCCCAGAACTCTCAGACCAATATCAAGTAGACATATATCCCTTGTGTGAAACATCAGACAAAAGATTCTAGCATGACACTACTCAGTCCCGCTCACTGGCTGATGGCTGATCCCATGTTCACTTAAACTGTACCGTTTGCTGTAGTACTGTGAGAGACTGTGGCCAGTGTCTCTGAACTTCAACATACATGTGACATCAGCAATAAGTTTCCCAAGACCCCAGCAATACACTGAATAAGAAGAAAAGGGCAATACTTTCTCGAAAGAAAGATAGTTTCCTGTTACAAGTTTTGACTTTGGTTTTCAACCTAAAGAAATTTTAAGTATATTTCTGGAGAATTTTCAAAATATCCCAATTCTGAAGCAGAACTCTCAGGTGTGTATAGGCCAAGTAGAATGCTAGGGGCAGTGCTGATGAAGGTCTGGGTCAAAGCAGAATCTTGGGGGCCCATTGAAACTATGACAACTTATAAATAAATTTTAAAAAATACCTAAATCAGATTCGGTTGTTCACTCTCTACAATTTGGAAAAAGTGGGTTTATGTTGGGCCTTGAATGATGTATCATACATCTCCTGAGCTCACTCTGGAAGTGTAGCAAGGCCACTCTTGGCTAAGTACAAGTCTACACATCCTGAGTGGAAAGTAAACTTGGCCATTATCTGACAAACCCAAGCAATGTAGGTAGTCAGCTGAGGTCATTTAGAACCAAAAATACATGTCAAATTTTGCACTTACTGTTGGAGAAAGACATCTCGTTGAATACTCTGGGCTTAATTGTATATATACCTATAGACTTTCATGTTCTAAAAATGGCCTAATATGACTTCCAACAATAGAAAATACTTAACACAATAAATAAAATAAAAATGAGCAGATGACAAAATCAAAGGAAAGAGGAAAGAAGGTAAGGCTGTGCTAGTCCAGTGACCAATGGTACATTGTGTAGGGTAGCCCGACAGGCTGCTTTCCAGGTCTCAGAGAGCATGGTCTCCCCTGAATCCTCTTACTGTAAACACAGTTGAACCTATCCCCCAGTGCAAGCTGAAAGTAGTCACATGACAGGATTTCTCAGGGAGATGCATGGTGTGATTACCTGATGGTCAAGCTCAGGCCAGGGTAGGCCGGTCTCTAGAGCAGTGGTTGTCCAGCATTGTTGGCCACGGTAATCTCATGTGAAAACCCAATGGCCTAACTAAGATGAAAACAGAGGTCTCTGACTATCCCCCCACTGGGAAGCAGGGTCTTCCCTCTTTGGGACCCCCACCTACCCAGGATAACACAGACCTGAGACCCTCAGGGGTTGCCCAGTGTGGTGTCAGGGAGAGTGGAGGTTTCCAAGGGGTTTTCACAGACCATGAAGTGGTCCTGGCGGTAGGGAGGGAGTAGGGCAGTTTCTGTCAGCCAGTGGAGCAAATATGGAAAACACCAAAATAGTCAAGTTTCATGATTCTTGGCAATGGGATTTCTGATAGCCTGCAATAGTTATGTGAATCTACAGGGTACGGGGAGGTATCCAATGCCACATTCCAAAACTGTACTGCATGCCGGACACATTAGAGAGTAAGCCATGCTGGTTTGGCAATGAAGAGCATGTGGGGAAGCTATTTCCTTCTTCAGAGGCTATTTCTTCATCTGGAGTGCATCTCTGGGCAGACTTTCACAAATACCATATCTCTAAGTTCCTCTCTGTACCCCACCAGCAAGCTGACCCAGAAAAGCAGCATGTGCCAAGACCACCATCTATATGACATTAGTTTTTTCTCACACTCATGGATACTCCCTTTTTCTCTGAAAAGTGGGATCTTGCATCCACTATGCTGAATATGAACTCAGACAACAAGACAGAGAAAACACTAAAGAAGGCTGCCTCTTTGCAATGTAATTATCACATCTGCCCATTTGGGTTCTACTCCAAAGAGTGCTAAGACCCTCATCCAAGGGAGCACTGGGATGGTTCACTATCCCCCCACCCATCACCCATCCTGACAGGCACAACATGGTCTGTGCCTCTAACATGCCCCTCAATCATCTGCATATGCATCTTTCTCCCCCAAACCGGGAGGCCTGGCTAAGCAGGACAACCCACGATGGCCAGCACACTGCACATGCACAGCCAGCAGTAAATGCTCAATGAATATATCAGGAGAATTGAAATGACTTTATCATCTCAGAAGTTCTAGTATCTATTAAGGGAATTCGTCAATAATTCTCTTTAAAAACAACCTTCATCACACAGGAGAAGGTGAACACTGTCATAGGTTCCAGTATTCTCCAAGGAACATGGCAGAGTACTCTTCCCACAGGTGCTGCACTGCACATGCCTTTTCATGGGCAAGAAGAATGAATGACTAAGCAAATGTTCAAACTTTTCTTTTAAATGTTCTCCGTTCAAAATACCATTCTTTGGCCTTGACAATTTTCATAAACCATTTTCTACAAATATGTGGAGATAATGAATGTTGGTGGGTTTACACCGTGTATGTGTGTCCTGAGGAGATTTAGAGAAAAGAGGAACATCAACTCTTCTGAACACAAATTTCTTCAGTGAGGAAGAATAGTTATCTCGTGGTACTTAAAACACAGAATTGAGACACGTACATTATTTAGCAGCTAATTACTATATATAATTGCTTTCTAAATCTCATTCTTTAGACTTTGGCTTGCTAACCCAAAGATATACAATCCAGCAATTTGAGTGGAATAAATGAGGCATTTTCTGAGGTCACAATTTAGATAAAACAATTCCACAACTGCCATAGCAACATAAGCTCCTCACGCACGGATGGAAATGCAGCTTTTGACAGACTCAGTCCTAGCTTTCCAGTCCTTCTCTTCAAGATGACTTGAAATTGGCATTTTTTCCTAAATGTGTAAACTATGTCAGGCTATGAATTTCATAAAAACAATGCTTAAATACAGAACTGGCACTCAAGAAGTTTAGAATCTAGTTGATGTTGAAGAATATATAAACCTGTTCAAAGTCACTGATACCTTAAAAGGATTAGTCTGCTTTTTAAATTACTACTCCCATTAACATTTCTACTTCCAATTCTATTCATTTTAATTTCCACGTATACCGATGGACATTTTCCCCTTACATGTTGGTTTTCTTTTTAAAAAGAACAGTTCAGCAAAGTTTAAGTATCATTCTGGTATTAGAGTTCCCTTTATTAAAAGAAAGGCATAAGCACTCTGCAGCTCAGTTACAAAAAGTGCTTGGAAGGAGGGGCGTGTTCTTCAAGGTGCTATGTCAGGAGACACATGTCACAAACGTGGATGAATACGTGGAAGCCTTGAAATCCAATGGGTCTGCCCCCAGCCTCCAGCACTCAAGGGGCATTCCTTTCCAAAGTAAAATCCCAGGAGTCTATTTTCAAAAAGGCTTACCTGGTAATTTGTGTTCTTGTACTGAAGTCAAGAGACCTCATTGAGCGTAGAACTTCTATGCAGCCCAAGTACTGCAAGAAGAAAAAACATAAATCATGAACCCCAGGAGCTGAGATGAAGAGACACCTCCTAACAACATCAAGGGTATTGCTAGAAGCCATACACATTTCTTAAATCACGTTTAACTTTATATTCATGGTGATGCTTTGTCTCATTTCTATAAAAGCAATAACTCAAACCGTAAGAAAATCCTGAGTGCCTAGATTGGTACTGCAATCATCTTTTCTGAAACCTGTAGTATTTTCATTTTATTTAAAAGTACATTTTTTAAAAACTCCTGTTAAGGTGTAACTTATATGTCATAAAATGCAGAAAACTTAAATGTGTAATTAATGATTGTTTAAACTTGCTGTGTAATCACCACCACATCCCAACATCTTACATCATATTTCTATTCCTTTACAAGGCTTCTAGAGGTTTATAATTTTTTAAAAGTATGAAAACAATATAATACCAGCATTCTTGCCATTATTAAATTTTATTATTTAATAAATATATTTTGAATTCTATGAATAAACTATAGACTACCCTCAAAGATGCTTTATTGTAGATTACCAGAGAGCCCTCTTCTGCATTATTTAATATAAATTCTCAGAAGTTCAATTTACACATCTACATTTGTAGTTAAACTTTTATCAATTTCACACATGAAAATGTATACATGTGTGTGTGAGTATATGGACATCATTGAAGTTATAGATAAACAACTGGAATGGTAGAAATACAGTATTGTGTTCCAAGGCCCTTGGGGAGTTTGAAGGTACAGATGTTTTATACTAATGCTTTTAAATTTAGACTTAGCAGGAGGAGACTTCACAGTGTAGTACAGAAAAGGCTGCATTTGAATTATTCAGAAAACCTGAATTTGAGACTGGCTCTGTCATATCTTGTTATGTAATTTTAAGCAAAACTTTAAACATCTCTAAACCTAAGTCTCTCTACCCATAAAATGTGACTTTTACATCCGACCATTACACAGTCATGAGAAACTGCTACCATCACATCATAGTTATTTAAATACCACCACCACCGTCACAGCTATGTGGATACCATGACCAACACTGCAGAGTATATTGCAGAGTATATAAATTCGATAATGACCAACACTTCAGAGTCATGTGATTATAGCGACCAACACCACAAGCTTGTGAATGCCAGGACCAATGTCTCAGGGCTATGTGATTACCAGCACCACCAAAGTCACAGACTTATGCAAATACCACATCCATCATTGCAGAGTTATATGGATACAACGACAAACATGACAGAATATGTAAGTACTGTGACATCACAAGGCATATGAAGACTATGAGCAATAGTGCAGGTTACATGAATACTACCATCACTATTAAAGTTATGTGGATGCCGCCATCACTACAGCAGGGTTATGTGACTACTTCTACCACTCTTGCTAAGATATATGAAGATCATAACCCACTTTGCAGTTATGAGATTACTGCACCCAACACTGTCACAGTTATGTGAACATCATGACAATGTCCCAGAGTTACGTGAGTACCCCCACCAGCAACAGTACAAAGCGAAATAATTACTATGACCAAAGCGGCAGAGCTGTGTCACAGCAACATCACTGCCTCTCAGATATATGAAAACCACCATCACCGCCATTGCAGAGTTATACAAATTTCACATCCATAGTCTCACACTTAGGGTAATACTCCATAGCCACCATCACAGGTATGTGAATGTGACAATAAATACTGCAGATTATCTGAAAATCATGCTCACCATCACAGAGCTATTGAAAATCATGACCAAGGTTGCAGAGTTATGTGACTACCACCACCACCACAGAGTAATGTGAATATCATGAACACTATAACAGTTATGTGGGTATCACGAACAACCGTACAGTGATACTTGAGTACCATAATCACCAACATCACAGTTATATTAATACCGCCACGACCAGCACAGAATTATCTGAATGCCACATCCAGCCTCAGAGTTTTGTGACTACCATGACCAAAGTTGCAGAGCTATATTAACATAGATCCACCAGAGTTCTGTGAATTCCATGATGATCATCATAGTTATGCGAATAATATGACTAGCGTTGTAACATTTCATGTATCCCAAAACAACCGTTGAGGAGTTGTAGAAATATAAGTACCATGACCATCGTAGAATTATGTGAATATCACCACAAGCATCATAGCAGAGTCATTTGAATATACCACCAATATCATCTCATATTTATAGAAGTACAATCAGTGCTATTTGAAGAGGCATGTTAACACCACCACCAACATTACAAAGTTATGTAACTAAAACCAACAACCTCACAGTTGTGTGAACACCATGTCCACCCTCGTAGTGCTATGTAGAGACCACACCAGTGCTGATGAGTAATATGAATACCACTGCTACCATCACTGAGTCACATGAAGACCATGACCAACTTTGCAGAGTTAAAGGATTAGCACATCCAATACTATCAGTTATATAAAGACCACCACAACCACCGTGTGGAGTTATCTGAAAACCACAACCATCCTGGCAGATCCAGAAGAATATCACCAAATATGTCACAAAGATATGTTAACACTATGATTACCATCATAGTTATGCAAATATTGCCACCTCCATTGCAGTTTTGTGAATACCATGACTCCCAACGAGGTTGAGTTATGTGACTATCTTGATGAGAGTCACAGATTTACATGAATACCGCCACCACTACCTCATAGTGACATGTTAATGCCAACTCCACCATCATCATAGAATTGTGTAAAAATAGGCAAACTTCCTTTTATTGTGCTTCACGTTTTTATGCTTTGCATATATTGTGTTTTCATCAACATCCAGGCAAGACCGTCCACCAGCAAATAGGTTGACTCACTGAAGACTCAGATGATGGTTAGCATTCTTTAGCAATAAAGTATTTGCTAATTAAGGCATATATATTTTTTAGACATGTGCTGTTGCACACTCAATAGACTACAGTATAGTATAGACATAATTTTTATATGCACTGGGAAACCAAAAAATTCATGTGACTCGCTTTACTGTGATAGTTGCTTTACTGTGGTGGTCTGGAACCAGACTCATATCTCCAAGATATGCCACTACCATGACCAAGTCACAGCATTACCTGAATTACACCATCACCACTGTCACAAGATATGTAAATAGCACCACTAATGTTGCACACTTATGCCAATACCACAACAAATGTTGCAGGGTTATAGAAATACCATGATGAATTTCACAGCATCTATAAACACAACTCTAACATTGCAGGGTCATATAAATACCCGACCTCTGACACCTAGTTATTTGAATACCACTTCTACCACCAGCATGATGTGTGAATACCATGACCAGCCTCACAGAATCATGGGTATAACATCAGCAACAGTGTCATAAAGTCACGTAAATGCAACTACCAACTACGACAGTTGCAGTTTGCATATATGCTAACGCCACCACCATGACAGGGCTATATGATACCATGATCAAAGTCACAGAGATAAGTGGATAGATGGCCAATGACATAGTTTTAGAACTACTGCCACCAACATGACCACTGAGCTATGTGACTACCACAATCAGTACTACAGGGTTATATAAACACCATGACCAATATCATAGCACCATTCGAATACCATCACCACCACACCATTGTAGTTATGTGTATACTATGACCACCACAACAAGGTTATGTGAAGACCACCTGCAGTCACTTCACAGAATAACAAATAACATGATCAACATTGCAGAGTTGGATGATTATTACTATCTCGATCATTGCAGTCATGTGAATACTACCAGCAGCAACTTTGCAGAGTTAAATAACACAGCCAACTTTGCAGTCATATAAATAAATATGTCCACAATGTCACAGGTTATTTTGAATACCACTATTGACAATATCACAGAATTATGTGATCATCACCACCAACATTAATGCAATGCTATGTGAATCTCATGACTAATGTAGCAGTTATGTGTAGACTATAACTTCTCAGAGTTATGTAATTACCGCCACTACCACCATCACAGCTATATCAATACCTCCACCACTGTCACAGAGTTGTGTGAATACAACCACCATGGCTGTCATGGAGTTATACGAAGGTCATGACCAACTTCAAGGAAGTATATGATAACTATCACCACCACATTCTCAGTGCTGTGTGACTACCGCCCCCAAGGTCACAGAGTTAAATTACCCTCCCAAGGGTCAGTAGCAACTTGTCCTCTCAAAATCAATGTCTAAAAAAGTTTATTTCTCAATCCTTCATAACACTTTTGAATTTTTGGCTAACAGGGGCAAAGTATTTCTCTTTCGTTGTTGTTGTTGTTGTTTTAACTGACACTTCCTTGATATCTAATAAAGTTATGTAATTTTTCTCACTTGTTTATTGGTCATTTGCACTTCTTTTTCTGTAAAGTGACTGTCCATATCTTTCTGTTAGGTTCTTCATCCTTTCCTTATAGACTAGCAGGATGTTAATTTCCCACTTAATCATTTTTCTTTTGATGGTTTCTACATTTTACCTAACACAAATTGTTACTGCAGTAATATTATAGTTTTGTGATCATGTCTATCATTTTCTGCATAGCTTTGGAGTGCCCTGTCTTGCTTAACAAGGTCTTTCCATCCCTGGATTCTTAAAATATTCTCCTAAATTTTACTTTAACAATATTTATTTATTATTTATTTATCTATGAATTCACTTATTTAAAGGTTTCATTTAATGTTTTTCATTTAGCTTTTTATCTATTTAGATATAGCATAAGTCAACATGTTAGACTTCAAATGCATACTACTTAAATCAGTACCACTGATTTAATAAGTCATCCATGTCTTCCTGGATCAATGTGCAACTGTGTAAGATACTAAATTCCTGTTTCTGTAGGGACCTTTATCTGAATTCTATGGTGTTGTACTTCATTTGTCAGTTCCTGTATCTCTTGCATATACTTTTCCTTAAGAACTTTCAAATTATTTTGTAAAGTTCCCTCACCCCTCAAAAACTGGGTT